CACACTGGTCAGGCCGCAGCTGGAGTACTGCATCCAGTTCTGGGCACTGCAGTTCAAGAGGGATGTGGACAACATGGAGAGGGTCCAGAGGAGGGCCACTCGCATGATCAGGGGGCAGCAGGGCAGGCCCTATGAGGAGAGGCTACAGGACCTGAACTTATTCAGCCTCCACAAGAGAAGGCTGAGGGGGGATCTAATGGCCTGTTACAAACTAGTGAGAGGGGACCATCAGGCACTGGGGGAGTCCCTGTTCCCCCGAGCACTACCAGGAGTGACCAGGAATAACGGTCACAAGCTCACAGAGCGTAAATTCAGGCTAGATATCAGGAGGCGCTACTTCACGGTCAGGGCGGCTAGGATCTGGAACCAACTACCAAGTGAAGTGGTGCTGGCTCCTACCCTGGGGATCTTTAAGAGGAGGCTAGACGAACACCTTGCTGGGGTCGTTTGACCCCAGTACTCTTTCCTGTTATGGCAGGGGGTTGGATATGATGACCTGCTCAGGCCCCTTCCAACCCTACTAACTATGAAACTATTTTAGCTGTAAAGAAAGCCTACAGAATTCTGAGTGCACACTTGGAAAAGGCAGTTTTCCATGTTTTTAGAGATATTCATCCCATGTATCTTTTTTGCTATTTCCAATGCAGGGCCCAGTCCTTTAAATATGATCAAGTGTATTACTCATAGCTGTAAGCTGTCCTGATGGAGTTCACAGGGAAAATTTAAACCCTACTGAACTCGTTAGGAAAATTTTACTTTAGTAGAAACACTGAGGCTTTTCCTTAGGTATAAGCTCTTCAATTAAAAGGAAAACTTTGCAAGGTTATTGAACAGAGATCAACAAAACCAGGCATGGCTTTGGCTTTACTCTACTGCTTTAGCATGTTTTAGATATTTTTTGGTTTTGTTTTAGTTTTGTGTTTATTCAAGATGAAAATTCATTAAAAGGCATGGGGAATTTTGGATAAATAATTGTAATTTTGGACTATAGGCTGCAGTGATAAAAAAACAAGCAGTCTTCTTCAACTTGCTAAGAGAAATAAAATTAACTTTACTGAGCTTTCTAGTTGCTAAGAGATTAACTAATATAAACCTGCAAAAATAATATACATGCACTTACACATTTAAAAGTAAAATGGAATATATTTTACATTAATAAGTACTGTTGTAAGATTTAGCTATTTACTACTAACAGCCATAATTTTTAAAGTGTTTCATGAAGGAGGGGATAAATATCATTATCCCCACTTTAGAGGATTTTTTATGCACAAGTAGAAATTAATTTTGCACAAAAATGCAACACACCTCTCTCTCCCAGAAACTACACATGAAGCATTGAAACCCCTTTGTAAAAAGTGTCCTATGAAAAGTAGATCTATCTTCTTAAACCCTGAGGGATTTCAAAGCTGAAAAATGCAATTTTTAGATGCTTCTGATTTTTATTACTTCATGTTTAAAAAAAAAAACAAGCCACCATACTGGTATTTAGAACCTGCAAAGCAGTTGACAGGTGTGATCAGATTTTAATTTGACTGATCTTCTAGAATAAATCAATTGGAAGAAAAACACAGCTAATCACTGGGTATGTCTATACAAGATGCTAATTGTGCAGTGGCCTAACAACACTGTAGTAGCATGCCAAGCAAAACCCATGCTAATATGCTACTGCACAATAGCATTAGTCTACTGCATAGTAAGTATCATTAAAAACCCATACAGCAGCACTACTGCACAATAGCATGAGTTATTACGCTTTGATTTAGTATTTGGTTAACCAAGTACTAAACTTAATGCACAATAACTATGGCACATTAATAGATGTGTAGACTTCCCCACTGGCAATGTAACTGGTCCACTGTTAGACTGGTTTTGGTAAATAATGGAAAGATAATAAAATCAAATGAAAGTTCTACAAGAAACTGGGGTATGACTTCTGGGTTAAAACCACTAAGTGTTCAGGCTCCAGTGTTTTATGGTAGCTGGAACATGGTCCAATTAAGGTTTGGGAGATATATAAATAAAAAACTAACTATATTAAATCAGAATGGAAATGCTCTATCCCTTTTCTATACTGAACCTCTTACCCTGGTTGTCTTGAAGGTTCAGGATGGCTTGGATAAACAGCCATCTCTTTCCCTTGACTTCCAACAGGTTCCTTCCCTGTTTGATACCTCTTCTGTTGATTATACTTCATATTTTTTCTTTAAACTTGGTGTGTTGAAAATTATAGACACTGGAGCTGCAGAAGATCTATTATAACTATATCAGGTCCACCTGCCACTGCAGGATTGGCCCATTTTCTAGTTTAGTTTCAAACTGATAAAATGATGAGGCTTCCCTTCCAAATGTTCTTATCTTATTTTTCCTGCTTGACCCACCATAAACAATTGTCTTCTCTTCTTGTGATCTGTATCACTTGTGTGTCTGTTAAACTTGTCTCCTTCAATGTTTGGAAAGCTAACAATATATTTAGTTTATTTCATTTAGGTTTAGTTAGGTTATTTTTTTAATATGGCAATCTCTCTAGCTCCTCAACTCTATCAAGGAGGCATTAAGTATAAAATGCAATTCTATGTCCACCAGATGGCAGAAAACTAACAGGGATGTGGATGGATTCCACTGCATTTGTTGGTTGTTTTTGTTATTGCACGTAGTGAAACAATTTTTTTAAATTGGTTAAAATTGGTTTTTAAGAGATTTGAAAGTTTCCTTCCTGGTAAGTAATGCTACAGTGCAATGACTTGACACATGTATGTGTGTGGTATAATTGTATGCTTAGTCATTCAAGATAATCTCCTTTATTATAATTAGATGTTAGCTAAGCTATTATTGCAATATATGTACACTGTGCTCTAAAGGTTCATAGTTGCTGAATATTGTAGGTTTAGGCAGTGCTCAAGACAGAATGATTTGTAGGTGGTGGTTCTATATGTCATAGTGGAAGCACATCAATTAGCTGATCAAGTCAAATGAAATGCTCAGGTATCAAAAAAAAAAACATTTTTAGGTTCTTAGTGGACAGATTCCTGAAACACCAGTATTTAGAGCGAATCTTACATTTTAGAGTTTACTGTGAGTAGACAACTAGAATGTTTTTATAAAGTAAAGATACTGTTATAGACCAGGGGCCTTGATGTGTAGGAAAAAAAGAAGTCTTTCAACATCAAGTTATTGTTTTTGTAAGCGCAGTAGTTCTCAACCTTTTTAGTGTCGTGGCAGCCCTTGATAGTCTCAAGGCACCTCTTGGAAAATGCCAGCTTTTAATTTTCACTCATTTTTGAACTACAGACAAATAATAAAGTATTTTTTCTCCTGCAGAGAACTCAGACCACAGCACGGCAGAGTGTTTTGGATACTATGTATTCCTGTTTGAAATCTCTGGGTTTATCCTGGGAATCATGTTTGCACACCAGCGGTGCTAATATTATGTGGCACCCCATGGCACCCTTGAAAGGATCTTGAGGCACCCCAGGGTACTGCAGCATGTTGGTTGAGAATCACTGTATTAGTGCCTAGATCAGGGGTGTCAAACTCATTCAGCCCCATGGGCCAGATGAGCATCTCTGAGCTGGTCTGTGGGCCACACTGGGATTACCTTCTGTGGAGCAGCCACGATGCTGGGTGCAACTCACACACCATACCCAGCATGTGTCAGCCTCCAGGGTTAGCATGAGACATGCATTGCCCATGGTGCCTGGGCTGGACTTTATGCTGCATGCAGCATAGGGAGTCTGGGGCACAGGTTGCATGTGGCACCATGGACTGACCCCCTGTAGTGCCTGTTCTGCTGAGCTGAAACCACTGGGCAGTGTCCTCTGATTTTACAAGTCTTGCTGTGTCTTCTTGGGCAGATGCAGATGCAGCAACACACTGCCTGATGTCCTGGGAACATGAGGTGGGGAGTCGCAGGCCAGTATGAGAGCACACAAATTTGGCACAACGTTCTGTTTTGGGGGGAATACTGGGATATACAGATGGTTGGTCACTTCATCAAAAGGCCAAGACAGTTTAGACTTAGGTTGCAACCCAAAAAAGAAAAGTTCATTTATTTCTTAAACTCCTCAACTGCTTAAATTGTTCTAGCTACTGAATTGCATAACTGTCATTTCCCTAAACTGAAAACTAGATTAATAAAATATGGCAGGTATTTTAGTAGAGCAAAGGTCTGGATATACTATGTGACTCCATGGCTCAATTTACCCTTATTCACAAAGCAACATCCTAAACTGAAAACTAACCTCCCTATGACATTTCTCTCCATACATACTTCTTAGAAATATTTGCCTTTTTTGCATGTAATTACATGATGATTCTGTCCTCATATGAAGTTAATGGGGCAGAGTGTACTTTTTAATGGTATAGTGTATATTGTTTAGTGAGAATTTTGTCATAAAAAATAGAAAAAAATCTCCCTATCAAATTTATTTTTTGAATACTGCCCATAATTAGAGAGTTTTAAGGGGGGAAAAGCATCACTTTTCCATTTCCATTGTTATGAAATTATATTACAAATTTAGTTAATGAACAAACATGAATGGCTTGTTAGGAGACTAATAGTGGGTTAGACAGTCCTGCTTAGTCCTAGGTAAGGGTAGTCTTAATAAATGAGGTAAAAGTTTTATTTCAGAGTTCATGATAGGATACTTACCATATATGTCAAGTCTAGCAGTGCATGACATAATACCAGCTTCATTTTTAGCGGACAAAGTATACCAACCAGCATCTGCTTTTCTGGCAGGCTGAATCAAAAGGCAAACATATCCTGTTGTATCTTGATGCATGCTGGGAAAATAAGTGGTTGGAATTACTAATTCAAAGTGTGTATCAGCTGTCAGATTTAGTATTAAGATGATGGCTATCTAACCTGTATAAAGTGCTGTTCTGCTCTGCAAAATCTTAGTCCTTCAAATAATGGAGGTGCAACACATAAATGCTACTAATGATTGTACAAAGTTGTAATATAATTAATAAAGCAGACTTATAAAGGGAGTAATTAGAACTCATATGAAATTTTTCAATGGAAAATTTCACCATTGGAAAATACCAATTTTGCAAAAACGAAATCTCCCACAGGTGTATGGTGCTTGCAATAACATTCCAATAGAAACCTGCCTGGCTCTCTGCCAACAGACCTTTCTCACTTCCTGCAAGCTTTACAGTAGCTCAGGGCTTCCAGGCTCCATTTGGAAAGCTTGTTAAGTAGGATGGAATGTCACAGAGCAAGGGCTCCTCTGTTCTCCGGTCTGTCCTTCCATTGATAGCCCAGGGGTTTACATCACCAGACAGGAGACCTGGGAGAGGTGACAGTGGGTATATCTACACCAGATGTTTTACTGTGAAATAGACTAATCTATTGCACAGTAAAGCATCACTGTCTACACATGTGCACAGTTACTGTGCAGTAAATTAGTCTACTAGGCAGTTAGTTACTACCTGTAAATACAAGTAGTAAACTACCTGCGTAGTAACTGCCAGCATATGTAGACGCTGGCCAGAAGCAAATTTACTCCTGGTCAGTCCCTACATTAAGGGGCCATGGGGGATGGGGAACTCCCCTGGTTCTGACACTACTGAGCTCCCAGCTCCCACCAGGAGCCAGGGCAGGTCCCAGCCAGCTTTGGGCTACTCGTGGAGCCCTGTGCAGTATAGGGCTGGCCAGCAACTGTCCCATTCTGGGGCAGGTCCCAGCCAGCTCCAGGCTGCACATAGATAGTTTCTCTTGTGCAGCCTGGAGCTGGCTGGGCCCTGCCCCTGAAACAGGGCAGTTCCTGGCCAGCCCAGGACTGCATTGAGAAGCCCTGCTAGGCACAGGGCTTGTCCCTCTGTGCATGGGGTGGGAAAACTCTGTAGCAGCAGCTGTCTCCTGGCCCTGTGCACATCAGGAGCTCCCCCTGGCTGCTGCAGGGGGGCAGAGCAGGGCAGGAGCAGCCCTCTACTGGACTGCTTCCAGTGGGAGCAAATCTGCTCCCAAGGGGGAGCATGTGTAGATGTGCTCCCTGGTAGGCTTACTGCATAGTATTTTTACTGTGCATTAAACCTATTTTGAACTAATAGCACATATAGATGTGCCCAGTGTCACTCATATGCTCCCAAGCTGAAGTGTTTCCTTTAAGGAAAGATTCTGATATTTGTGATTTTGTTTTGTTTTCAACTGAAATGAAACCTCTAACTTTCTTCATGAGGGATTGACATTCCATTTTTACAGCCAGCTCTAGAAGTATTACTCCTAAAGGGTCAGGTTCACCCTTAACCTGCTCAGGTAACATGAATGGAGCAGTTATTTGGGGGACAACTGCATCCTCTTTACACTGTAGAAAATGTCTCTTGGTTTTTCATAAGCTAGTGTGGGAGATATCAGTGGGGGCAAGATGAGGTAAGCTGGGAAGAATGGCTGCCAGTTGGTATTTCTGTGGATCCAGTAGTCCTAACGCTTTACACAGGTGATGCTAAAAGTCTAGGGCTCTGGTGGTAGCAAGGTAAAAAAACAATTGTGCTGCTAGCCCTGCTGTGTACAATCCCACCTTGTGGCTTTAGGGTGGAGCAGTGGATTTTACCTTGTTGGTGCACCTATGTATGGCTGACTAATCATTGTCTATGCATGCCATGAATTTTATCCAAAATAATAAAAAGTGAGGCAGTCCAGGGCACAACATTCATCATGCTTCAACTACTACTTGTAATGGATAGCAGGGAGCCAGTGACTCATCGCTGAGTAGCTGTTTGCCCTAATTAAAACATTAAGTTGATCAACAGATTTATACTCAGGTAGAATTCCATAGAAGAGAGAAAATAATTGATTTATTGTCTAACCAAAACCAAGGAAATATATTGCAGTAGGTTGTTCTTTTTTCCGTCTAAAAGGCAGTGAATATATGTAAATCGAAACATTGAGTTCAAATACCCTGGAGCTTCAGAAATGTAGACTGAAATCTATGGTGGGACTTGTATTTAAATGCTGCTGTTACTTCCTATCTCTAATGTGCTAAACCAAGATCCTAGATGTGGTTATCCTAAAGTTTGGGGAAAAATCATGATCTAAATGGTTTGGATCCATTTCTACTAAAAATGAATGCCAAAGAATATACTTTGATAATAAGTTGCTGTTGCCCACAAAAATGCAAAATTTCAAAACCAGCATTTATTACAAACACAAGCCCTTCTAGAAAGAGATTTGCTGATGCTGAGTTAATTTTATGGTGGATTTAATGTCTGACACAGCCACTTTTATGCTTGCCTTAAAAAATTAATGAGATGCTTAATGCAAATTTGCTTGTCACTGTGTGAATAATGAACATTGTTTTCTAAAAATCTCTGTATAACAAATGGAACTTTTTAATGGTCTGCACCCTACAAACCTTAAGGGAATTCAGGTTTCTAGAATTTTATGGGCAAAAGAAGGCTACTATAATTCTGTACTGCAATTTCTTTTCATAGAAGAAGGAAATGATTGTCCTTTCTGTAGCTCTCATGAGATATCTCTTCTGGGAACCTTAATATCAAAGATACTGACTCTTTATAAGAATCTCAAAGGAGCAGGGTTCACACACCCTTTCTGACTTCTGAATTCTGCTCTGGTAATCCCTTCTCTGGTACAACTTACTTAATATTTTTGCCTAAATCCTGGGAGCAATAAAAGCTGGACAGCCTCCTTGTAGTTGTAAACGGTGTGTTCTCCAGCATTTTGGGCCTGTAGATTGAAAGGGATTGCTTTCTGAGTGTAGATATATTATGCTGTGGAATAGTGCCTTAAGCAAAGCTCCTTCTTTCGGGTTATATATAGGGGCCACCCTAGGTTGCTGTGAGATCAAGGGTTTTTTGTGGCTTGCTGTGGCATGCAGAACCAATTTTGTGGGCATTTCATGGCAGCCCCACACCTTGCCACTGATTGAGCGAGGGTTGCTTGTGGCCCCACCCCTCACCACCAATTAGCAGAGGGCACTTTCACTCAGTCTACATCACTACTGCTTTTTTGCCCTGCACCTTGCTGCTGATTGGCAGAAGGCATCTTCACTCAGTCTGTCACAATTGTTTTTTTTGGGTTGATTTTGCGGGAGATCGCAGCCAAAGCTGGATTGCAGCCAATGCTGTTTTATGTGATTTCTGCAAAATCTACAAAACTGCAATTTAGATAGGTCCCTAAATTATACAGAATACTTCTCCCATCTGTTTGCAAAGATGCAGCAGCATTTGATTTCTCTCTAACCAAATATACCAATAATAATAAAAAAACCCTTAAAAATTAAAGGATTCTTGCAATGATGGATCTCAGAAGCACTTTGCTGATGGGTCAGCCAGATGACCTCTCTGAGTTTTGCTTTAAATATAAAATGTCATGAGTGTTACGTTTATATTTTTAAAGTACAGGATAATAGTGGTAAGCCTAACAGTTCATGCTGACAACATGGTTAGGTCTATGGTGGGAGAAGCAGCAAGGAGAGAGAAACTGATGAAAACAGAAAGGTTGGCAGAATTAAATTCATCCTGGTACAGAGGTACATATTAAGGCATTGTTTAAACTGTTCAGGCAAATATTTATATGTTGCTAGAAAGGTGGTTGCTGACTGGCCACATGTGGGAGAGGGCTCTCTGAGGCGAGCTCAGCCATAGGGCCAGTGCCAGCCATATGGGATGCAGATAGCTCAGAAGGGCTACTGCACTATAGCAGCCTTTTGGCTAGAGCCCTGGCTGTGGGATTGGAGGGGATTGTACTGCAGCTCTGCTCCCAATTCTGAATCGAGGAAGTTGATTTCACTCTCCTATTCATTCTGTTAACACACATTTTCTTATGCTTTCTGCATTGTGGCTAGAGAGAGGGCACAACCTGCTCTTATCATAAAAAAAAAAAATATTGCAATAGTCAGCCCAGCTGCAAGGACACTATCTGTGTAATGTACAATACCTCATCCTTTCTCTGTGTGCTGGGATGGTTTCATTATCCTTCTTCCAGTAAAACACTGGTGGTGGCATTCCAATCACTCTGCCTTCTAATCTGACTGGGTGCCCTTCAGGGACCCCACAATTCTGAAGCTTCTCCAAGAATACTGGGGCTTTTTTGACTTCCTTTGCTGAAAAACAAGAGGAACAATTGCTGTACATCAGGGATTCTTACAGTGTTTTTACTTTTAAAATCCAAGGCTCTGCCTTTTCTGGGGAGAAGGTTGGGAAGACTAGTATGTCAAGGTGAGGAGGTAAAAGTAGAATAAGGATACGGTTAAATACATAGGTGTCCAAACCTAGCTGCTGTAAGTGTAGAGAGCAACTGCAGCCCAACCACAGAGTAATCCCTGGACCTGATTTTTTTCATTGCAACACTTTATACTTTACGTTTTATATAGTAAGAGTCTTTTGCCTTCAGTGGAGTTACTCCTGACTTATACTTGTATGACAGAAGACTCAAGTTAAGTACCTACAAAGTAACATATACAAATATGCACAGTATAATGCCACATAGTCTTTTCTTTAAGCATTTTACTGTTGGCTACAAAGCACCAACTCACAGGATCATCATAAAATTCTAGTTTATTGAATGGATGCAAACATCAGACCATAAACCTTGGTGCTGATCCCTTCTCTCTCTCTCTCTCTCTCTCTCTCACACACACACACACACACACTCTAGCTAGCACTGAACACTAAGCACTGGTGTCAGGATATACCTATCCCCAAGCGCTGGAGTCCTCCATCGATGGGCAGTTGAGGCTTCTTTCAGTGCGATGCTGCTTCAGAAGGGGGTTGCCGGCTGGTCCTTCTGGCTGGACAGGCAGGGTGCTGGTCAGGTCAAAGAGGGCACCACTGGGGGTCATTCTTCTCTGCCTTTTATCTCTCTCTGGCAGACTTTGGTGACTCCCCAATTCTTGGCCTTACCCAATCCAGGGGTCGTTGACCTCAAGGGACATCCCTCTTGGTAGCTGCTGGATGGCAGCTGTCAGCCCCAGGGTCACGTCCACACGGATGTGCAGTCTCAGGAGTCCATTGAAGAATTTTAATTGATTCACTGCCATGTTGAATATAGCTCTGGAAGTGTTTGATCAGGGGGTATTTCAGCCCCAAGTGTCTGTTTCCAGCGGTGATTAGTTCAAACAGGGGCTTCTGTACCTCTAACAGTGAAGTTTCTGGGAATTCCTGGCTCTTTATTGATTCTTTCCTCTCCTTGGTCTCTGATTTTGTAGGTGTTAATTGCCACTCATTAACAAGCTTATCCAGACTAGACACTGTGTTACACAATCAACCATGATTCATTCAGGGACCTGCTCCATACACAGATTCCTGCTCTTACTAATGTTGTTACACAGTACAACTTACTTTTAAACTTAAAGTACATTTGTAAAAGCATCTACAAGCTCTAATTTCACTACAAATACACCTTATATAAAAATAATAATGATATAATAAAAGAAAAAGAGAGAGGAAGGAAGAAAAGGTAGAAAAGAGAAAGCATCCCCAAAAGGGGGCAAACACTAAAAGAGGGGCTTTTGCCATATGGAGGAGCTTCACATTTGGGGGGAGGGGGGCAGACAAAAGGGTTTCTTGCTACATTACTAATTCTTACCTACAACAGTAAGGTCCAAGCTAAATGAGTTTTGTCCTGTTCTGTTGGTTGCAATGCACGTGTAAGTTCCTGCGTCCTTTTGTGTAAGGGGATCAATAAGCAAAGAGTGAATTCCATTTTCTCTGACCAGCATCTTGTGGGTGCCATCTGGTAACACAGGTTTGCCATTCAGGAGCCACATCAGGTCTGGAGTTGGTAACCCACTCACCTAACAGACAATGAAACAGCTAGAGGCAACTGACAGACTGGTAAACAGAATTCAGCAGCACAATAAATAAGTCTATCTTCAGATATCTGGATATAGGAGAGAGAAAACAAGGCCAGAGAGAGAAGAAATGTTCTGGGACAAACAGCTTTCCCCCCCCTAAATATTTCTAGGAAAGAAAATCTAGTTCTACAAATAAGAATTTTTAAAAAGTAAAATATTAATAATCTGTTGACTTCAGATTATATAAACGATCAGTTCAAAGGGTCACTTAAGATCAGGTCTGAATCTTTATAGAATATAATAGAGAGAAAATCAATGGGGACTTAAAGTTCATTTAGATATATGAGTATGCTATATTCAATACAGTTTTAAAGGGGTATAGGTTCTAGCCATGTTGGTTTAAGGACATAGGCAGACAAGGTTCTTTGGGTAAATCCAATACCTTTTACTGGATAGTTGGAAAAATTCTTTGCGAGCTTTTGGGTACAAGTACTTGTACCCAGAAGCTTGCAAAAAAGAATTTCCCCAACTATTTGAGTTGGTCTAATACAAATTTAAACACATTCTTTGTTCATAGTTTTAAACCAACATGCTATAGAATTGTATAAGTTAATATCAACATGTTATAGAAAGACTCATTCTCTGTTACACTCTTTAGGACTTTTTCTCCTATACATATCTACTTACCCATACTCAAAAACATCCTGTGTGTATTCCACAAATTAGAGCATGCTATTGGAGCTTTAGAGGCACTGGTAGAAGAACAGCTGGGGAATAACCAGCTTCAGTGGCATGCTCACTCATGAAGCTCTAGATCATTCCTGAGCACAGGTCAGCAGATCTGGGTGTTGCTGCTTCTCAGACCAGCATTAACTTCCCTCTACTTCCTTCAGGATGGGGACCAGCCACAAGCATGGTATAGGGACCAATGACAACATGGTTGTTTGTAGGGCTATGCAAAATTTTGGCAGCCATTTCATTTTGAAGGTGTTTCAGTCTGTTTTGGTGCCTGAAACACCAAATCCGAAATTAAACAGAAGGTTCTGAAACCATCTCCAAAACTAAATGAAACCATCTCCAAAAAGAAATGAAACCATCCAAAACGTTTTGGAGGCACCCCTGGGAATAGTTCAGCACAGCCCTGTAGCCCTTCTTTTAAAGTGCCAGGAGGTTGGGGCTGGATGGGGGATGGGTTGGGCAGGGCAGCCATGGGGCTCCTCCTGTGACTCCCTCTGTCCAGGGAGAGGCAGGAACAGCCAAAGGAACCACAGGAGAAGCCCCTATGGCTGCCCTGCCCGGCCCCATCCCTTGCCTGGCCCCAGGCTCCTCACACTTTAAAAAAAAAAGCTCCACACTCACTGGCTACAGCAGTGGCAACTGGGGCCTCTGAGGGCTTGTGGCAGACCCCTTCACACACACACACACCATGTGGCAATGGGGGGCAGCAGGGATTGCCCCCCCGCCGGCTTGGCACCCACGTGGCAGCTGCCTCATGGCATGGGTGCAGTGCAGCTCATCAGGGCACTGTGTGCTGTCTGGGAGCTGGGGCTATTCGGGCTCTGGCTGACTGCTGGAGCTGCCCCAGCTCCCGGACAGTGCCTGCCTCTCCCTGGCTGATCCGAATTTCTGAAACAGCGTTGGAACTCTGAAACAGATTCGGCCAAATTGAAACAGAACAGTGATCTAAAACACCGAAACGAATCACTGTCCTCTAACTCAAGAAGTTTATGGGTCAACAAGAGGTAAAGTGCTGCTCAACCTGGTACTGGCTACAGGGGATGACTTAATCAGCGACCTAGTGATTGATGGGAAGCTGGGTGACA